TCTCATCCCTACACACACCTGCTGGAGCCAAGCCAGCATCCCTATGTCCATCTCACGCTGGATCCAGTTACGCCACCAGAAACACCACCACTCCCCTGTCCCTACGCAGCTCATAATTCCACGAAGAGCTCCCGTTACTGCTTAAGACGGCCCCCCACCCCGCGTGCCAGGCACTGACCCCTCACGGCGGAATCACCATCTCCCGTGATCACAATGCCAACTGCCTTGGAAATGTGAAGTCATGGGAAAAAATCCCCACTGCCCCAAATCCTTGAAGAAAAAGCTTATTTTTTTTCTTGCCATAATAAAATTTGAAGTTTTTAAAATAGATCGTTCCTCATGTTTTTCTGGTATTTGTTTTTCCTTCTGTTCATTGCTATCTCTGAGCGCGGTTCTGTGTTTTTCAAGGCATCTCCCAGCCGGCATGTCTGATCTGTGCAAACAACATTCCCAGGTAGGCAGGCGGACGAGGGCTCATCACCCCCGGTCTATGGAGAAGGAAGGAGGCAACGGAGCGTAAGTGGCTGCTCTGACGTCATACTACACTTGGATCCCTGACGACTCCCAGCCCATCTCCTTTTAAGTCCCCAGCAAATCCCCCACCATAAGCAGCGGGGTGTTGCCTTGGGTCCTGGCCTCCATTAGCCCCCTTAACCTCTGGCAGGTGAGAATTCTACCACTGAGCCACCAATGCCCCACTAGACTCCTTAACCTTTGAAACAGCCCCATCAGCAAATAAAGTGGGTGATGCGCCCTTTATAGATAAAGAAACAGAGGGTCGGGGCACCTGGGTGTCTCAGTTGGTTAAGCGTCTGCCTTTGGCTCAGGTCATGATCTCAGGGTCCTGGGATCAAGCTCCACGTCTGGTTCCCTGCTCAGCGAAAATCTCCTTCTCCCTCTCCCTCTGCCTCTGCTCGTGCTCTCTTTCTCACTCTATTAAATAAATAAAATCTTAAAAAGAGAGAGAGAGAGAAAGAAACAGAGGCTTGGAGAGATGGAATAACTTTCCTTAAGTCATATAGCTGTTCAGTGGCAAAGTCAGAATTTGAACTCAAGTCTTCTGCTTCCAAAAGGCTGCCCCTGTCTGCAGAGGTATTTACCTCTGGATGGCGTGGGCACATCACTCTACCTCACTGAGCCTTACTTCCTCCTCTGAGGCGTGGTCACAGTAACATCACACTGGTCTGTGGAAGGGGCCAAATGATGCCACACCCAGCTCAACTCTGTTGTCCTCGGTGCCTGTCACAGTCCCTGGGACACACCACACTCTCAGTAAATGCTTACCAAATGTTCCAACGAGGTCCCTGCCGTGGTACCTGCACACAGCACGAGCATTATAGTTGGCTCCTTTCTTCCAGTGGGACTCCCCTGTTTTGGGGTGTCTCCCCACTAGCACCCCTCTGGCTCTTCTCCCTTCCTCCCCTCTGAGTCATTGCTTGTAAGCACTAGTCTTCAGCCCTAAAAACAGAGCACGTTTGGGGGCATAAAAATCCCTCCAGATGTTGAACCACAACAGCAGGCCCCTGCCCTCAAGTTCCCCTCTGCTGTTCCTGGGGTGGCCATCGCAGGACGTCCCAGGGCTGATGGCCCGTATTCAACCTAGTGCAGGCCTGGAGTTCTCAGTCTGCTGGAATCCTTCGACAGGGGCCCCCGTCTCATCCCATGCTGTCCAGCAGAGCCAACTTCCTTTCCTCATTGGCAGAAGGACTGCCACCTCACACCTCCCGCTCGCTGGCTGGGCTGAGCTGGAGAAGGGCCCAGAGACGGGAGATGATTTGCTTGGGCTGCACAGCCAGCAAGAGGCGGGGCCAGGTCTGGACTCAGAACCAGCACTCTGGCAAGCTGATGTTAAGTACCCGAACCAGAATGGCAAAGCCCAGAGCTCCTTACTGCCCCCACGTAGCATTTGTCTGCCCTCGAGACCTTATCAGAGCCCAGAGAAGCATATCTCAGAAGCTGCTCCCCAGAATACTAGCCTCTCGGGGGGTACAGCCAGGGTGCCAGGGTGCGACCTAGCAGAGGATCTCAGAGGATTCCCCTCTCTTCACACCAGCTGGCCCCCAGCCTTGCTGGGAGGGTGAAGCAGAAGCCAGGACTTGGCAAGGCCCTCTGGCAAAGTGGCAAAGGAAAGGGAACCCCGGGGCCACTTGGACTGGGGTGTGTCCTATCTTAGGAGGGGCCCATGGAGCAGCATGTTCAGGGATCGCAGAAGGGTGGCAGGGTGGAGAGGCTCTGGTGGCAACCTGATGAGTGTCGGGGGGGAGGGGAAGGAGAGGAGGGTACACGGAGGGGGAAATGTCGGGCACCTTCCCGGTATTCTTAGGGTCAACTGAGTGGGGTTCAGGTGAAGCAGAAAAGAAGGAAGGTGAGGCTTTGCTGGGTTGGAGCCGGGGGCTGCGGGTCAGAGGGGCCTCTGCCACCCCCTCCCGGGGTGATGAGGAGTTCACGTCCTACACGCAGGAAGCTGATGTAATGCACACGTGTGTGCCCTCGTGGGGGCCTGGGTGTGGGTGGGTGCTTATCTGCCAGGTTAATTTCTCAGAGCGTGGGGCTTTCTTGTGCTCTTTCCCGTGCACACGCACGGGCGTGTGTGTGTGTGTGTAGGGCTCATGCCCAGGAGGGGCGTGGAAGCCACTGCCAGCCCGATGAGGCTTCTGACCAGGCTCTTCTCGAGACCACCACCTCCCCCTCTGCATGTCCACGTTCTGGGCGGGGTGTCTCTTGGTGTCTCTAGTGGCGGCCAGCGCTGGAGGTGGGGGTCTCCGCCTGCTCGTGCCCGTGTGTCCCTGTGTCTGGGTCTCGGGGTATTTGTTTTCGTCTGTGTCGCGGAGCTCGGCTGCTTCTGCCGCATGTGTGGCTGCTCGGCGGCCTCTGACGGCCCGGACAAAGGCCTCCCTAGACAGACAGGTGGTGCGGCAGACAGATCTGGCCCAGATGCCCTCAGAAGGCCTCTAGGCTCTGGTACGTGGCTGCAGGGCAGGAGGTGGGGCCGGTTGAGAGGGAGCTGAAGCAGGGACTCAGCGCTCCCCTACTCCAGGCCTGTGCCGATGCTACAGGGTCCGGAGGCCTGAGCAGTAGAGACACCCACCCCTGCCCCAGAGACAAGGAGACCCTCGGCATTTCAAGAGGTCAAAGGAGGAATATTTCTTGTCTCGAAGGGGTGGAGGGTGAATAGAGGCAGGAGAGGGGTTTCCTGAGATCCCTGTCAGGTAGGCAACACAGAGAAGAGGAGCTGGCTTCACCCAGGGAAAGCTGTGAGTCTCAGGCTGGAAACGGAAGGGGCAGCAAAGCAAGTACTGGGCTCTGGGAGAGGAAGAAGGCCTGAGTTCTGGCCACTGAAGAAAGGTGGCGGGGCTCTCCTTAACCTGAGCCAGCTTCCCCACCTCCCTCCAGATGCACCGTCACCTCCAAGAGGCACAGGGAGCGGGTCACCAGCAGACCAGCCACTCGTCACAGACCACCCCTCCTGCAAGATCCACCTAGATCAGGAGTCAGAGAAATGATGCTAGCCCTGGCAGAGGCGACTCTGTGACCTTGGGCAGTTTATTCAGCCTCTCTAAGCCTCGGTTTCCTCATCTGTGCAATGGAGACCTCCGTGTGCATGCACGCGCACGAACACATGCCCCACCTGACTTCGCTGTGCCCGGGGAAGGTGCTCCCCCTCCCTGCCACCTGGGCACTAAGCCTTACCTAGGATTCTTTCTGAGGCCATTAAAGCACCCTTTCACTTCTCCAAACCTGCCAACTGCTAGAGGGGAGCTCAAAGGGCAGCTGAGGCCTGGATGGAGAAATGGGGGGATTTCTGAGGCCCGCTGGGCAAGACCACCCCACCCCCACTCAGCTGCTGCCCTCTCCCCATTCAGGAGCAGCTTGGCTGATGTTTCCTCCCATTACTAGAAAACAGACCCTCGCCTCCCAGCTTCTTCCAGACTCAGGAAGGAGGGACCACGGCCCCACTGGCAGGGTGGGCTAAGAGCCTGGGACCCAGCTCCCTTTTCGAAGGGAATGACAGCTCCTACTTCACTTCCCCTCTGCCTTTCTCTCCCGCTCTGTCCTGACCCAGCTTCTTTCCGTGGCCCTTCCCGCTGGCCTCTGACTACCGCCAGGGAGGGACTGAAGCACGGGGACAGATGCCAATGTGCCATGTGTGAGGGGTGGGGGGTCCTTTTCGATTCCACCCCCAGGCCTGTGCTATGGCCCCAACAAAGACTCGGGGGTCATGCGCAGGTTGGGGTCTAACCACCACGAAGGGAGGGCTCTCGCCTCCTGAGCTGGGGCGTGTGTGTCTGTGTCTGTGCGTGCGCATGTGCGCGAGCCCGCGCGCGCGCGCCCCAAACCAGGCACCCCAAGGCTGGCACCAAAGCGTCTGCGGGGCGCGGGGACCGCCCTGTGGATTCCCATCGAGTCCTCAGATCCTGCGGAGCCAGAGAAGGGAGGTGGCGAGGGGGCGCCCGACTGCGTGACGCGGGTGCCCTGCTCCGCGGCGGGTCAGAGACAGGGGCGGGGGGAGTGCGCTCCGTCCTCGGGGAAGCAAGGACATCACCGCCCTCTCGGTTCAGGGTCGTTGCCCCTGAGGACCCCCACTTCCGTCCTCTGAGGAGCCGAGCGCCTCCTCCTGGGGGGCGTTAAGGCCCGCGGCCCCTGCCCAGGGATCGAGGGAACGCGCCCACTTCTCCGCGTTCCCCTCTCTGCGCCCAAGGCGCCCCCTCCCCAGGCCCAGGGCAAGCGGGACTCCCACCCACGCAGGGGGGTGGGACCCGCGCCCCCTCAGCGGCCGCCTGGACCGAGCCCCGCAGGCGAGGGGGGGTTCAGCCGGCTGAGCCCAGGCCTGCCCCCCACGCCCGCCTCCGGCCGCGGCCAACGCGGCCCGCGCCCCCTCCCGCCGACCCTCGGGCCCCGGGTCCCCGCCTGTGCGGGGTCCTGACGGCCGGCCGAGGGGAGCCCGCGGCACTGCTGTCCCTTCCCCGTCCCCGGGCCGCTCCCGGGCGGGGCGGACTCACCCGCGGGCCTGGGCCGGGCGTCCTGGGCTCGGCACTCCGGTGCCCGCGGCAGACGCTGCAGCTCTGCTCGGACGCGGCTTCGCGTTCGCCGCCGCCGCCGCCGCCGCCGCAGTTCGGGGAGGGGGGGCGTCACGTGACCGGGGAGCGCTCCTTCCCCGGCGCCGCTCCCCCCGTCACTGCGGAGCCCGAGCCGCGGGCGAGGGAGCGGGAGCGGCGGAGGCCCCCGCCCTGCCGGCCCCCGCGCGCTCGTCGCCCCTCACGGCAGTTCCGGCGGCGGGCGCTCTGTGCCCCCATTTCACAGGTGGGGAAACTGAGGACCAGAGAGCGCAAAGACTGGCTCAGGTTTACGTGGCTAGACTGCAGCAGGGCCCAGGGAGGACCCGGGGATTCGGCCGACAGCCGGTGCTCTTAAGGGGAGAGGGACAACTCCTGGGGCACGTGGGGGCGACGGGAAAGGTGGGGGACACGCCCTAGGCCCCCATAGGCTCCCCATGTCTGCAGGGACGGGGAGGAAGGAAAAAGCGCTGGCTTTGGTGCGCCAGGAGCCTGTGCCCCAACATCACGTCCTCCGCACAGGGAAGCCTGGTGTGAGTCCTCGAAGCAGTCGTGACTGGTTAGCGGCTCTTGGACATCCTCCCTGGACTGGGCGGCTCGCTCCCCGCTCCCAGCCTATTCCGGAACCAGGGAGCTGAGCGCCTGCCTCTCAGACGTGGAGGGACAGCGGCAGCAGGCGAGGGGGGGCCGGGGGTCAGGACGAGAGTTGAAAACCCAGGCAGGAAGGGGCCACAGGGATCACTTTAGTCTACCTGCTGAGGCCCAGAGAGGGGCAGAGATTTGCCCAAGGTCACATGCAAGTCACCAGCAGCAGCTCCTGGGCCTCACTGAGGGGAACGCCATTTGTGTCACACGTGTCCCTTTCTACTCCACCGGGCTCCTCGAGCAAAGCTGGATGAATGGTGGCAACAGGCCCTGTGTCCTCGGGGCCAGAGCTCTGGGGACACTGGGTGAGGTATGCTTGGTGACCCCATGATCACGCCCCGAGTCGCATGAACACTGATGTTAGAGGGATCTTTGAGACCCCTGGATCTCACTCCCTTGCTCTAATAACTGGGGAAACTGAGTCTGCAAAAGGGGTAGAGACAAAGCTCCCACATCTCAGGAAGGACACGCAAATTCCCTGAGTTCGCAGAAGCACCACAGCGCCTCCCATCCTCCCTCACCTACCCCTTCGAATCAGTGGACCAAGCAATGGGGTCCTCTGAGGTCAGAGGCCAATAGGGTCACTTTATAGAAAAGTTAGGGAGAACTCAAGCCTTGTATTCACTTATTCAACTTATTTATTGCACACCTGCTGTGCTTAATAAGGGATTGTCAGTTCACCTCCCCACCTCCCTCTCCCCACACCCTCCTTACCTTTCCAGCCACAGGGACTGCATCTCATCAAGGAAAAGATGTGGGACCACGGCGACCCTTACATCAGCTCTGGACTGAGACATGCAGGCCCTGAGTTTTCAGTCCCATGGGCGCTGCGACCAGGGCCAGCCATATTTCTCCACCAAGACTCTCACCCAACCGAGAAGAGATTCCAATTAATAATGAGGACATGCCTCATCCTCATTCCACCTCCAAGCCCACCTGCTCATGCGAAAAGGCAGAGGAGAACTGTGGGTCAGGCACCGGTTCTTCCCGGACCTGGCGTCAAGTTTTCCCCTGAAAGCCCTTGCCAGCCATGGGCAGGAAGGAGGCCCCAGCCCAGGGCTTCTCAGACTCCGAACAGCACAGCAGTGGCCTGATCCTGCAGTAGAGGGCCTGGGGCCCGCGCTCCCACATTTCCGATGAAGCACGGGCCATGTGGCTGGGGCTGCTGGGCCCCGGGCTGCTCTTCTAGTGGCGCAGGTGGAACAACATGGTCAGAGCAGGAGGAAGACTACTGCTGGGACCGGGACTTGAGGACACAGGCCTGGAACGTGGCCTGCTTACTCTGCACCCCTTGTCCCCCACCCCGGGGACACTTCGCTTTCCTGCCCAGGACTGGGTCTGGGCCTGGATCCTCCTCCGGGTACACCGGGGCTATAGGCTTGGTTCAAAGCTGTAAGGAGACAGAAGTTAAATGACGCTGGTGGAGGCACTTCCGGGGAGGGTGGTGGAGAAGGGGTTTTGTGGCATATGGATGGCCCAGACAGGTATGTTCATTAGGGCACTGGTCCCGGGAGATGCCTGGGGGAATAAAATCCCATTTGAGACGGGCTGGCTGAATGCCTAATGGCCTCCCAGGGCAGCATGTGCTGGGCCGGCTGGCCTCTAGCAGGGCTGGGCTCCCACATCTCAGGAAGGACACGCAAATTCCCTGAGTTCGCAGAAGCACCACAGCGCCTCCCATCCTCCCTCGTTTCGTACCCTGGGTCAGATAGATCCACAGTCCCAGTGTCTTGTCCTGCTCTGACTCCTCCCCTGGAGAGCCCCCTCCCCCTCCCTGTTGTGAGGCAGAGGGGCCATGGGCTCCCAACTCTGACTAATGGTGATTAGCTAATGGCTAATGGTTCTACTCCAGACTGTGAGCGGAGACCAGGGTGCCCCACCAGAGCCAGCACGGGGGCAGCAGACAGAGGCAGCAGGGGTGTGAAAACGCACGAGGTGAGCTATGGCAGCTGTGACCTTTCATGGTCCGGACTGGCAGACTCCACGGTCCCCAAGGGCCCAAGGTCCTACTGGCACGGGGGACCGAATGTGCCTGACCCTGGCCAAGTAGGCCGAGGAATGAAGATTCTTCTTCCGTGCCAAGCCTCTCTATTCCTTCTTTATAATCAAGGAGCTTTCGATTACAGCATTTTCCTCTTTACAGAAAACCTCAATGCAAGAGGCTTATAATCTCCAGTGTGTTCTGGGGGGCACCATTCTGAGACCGTCAGGGCCCCTGGGGTGAAGGCAACACGTGCCATAGGGGGCTGGGCACGCAGCCTGGCATGGAGCCTGGGGGCTGAAGGGAAGATTGGACAAAGGCCCCAGAGCTTTACTTTCTCTGGCCTATTTCAATCCAAACCACTCAGGATTGACCGCTCACGCATGGCTGCCTCTGGGCACAAGCCTTTTCTTTTTCAAACACTTAATACACTGCAACCTAGCCATCACCCCTGCCCTCCCCACTGCTGAAAAATGAAAGCTGGCTTCAAAAAATCTGACATCTGGGGCGCCTGGGTGGCTCAGTGGATTAAAGCCTCTGCCTTTGGCTCGGGTCATGATCCCAAGGTCCTGGGATCGAGCCCCATATCAGGCTCTCTGCCTGCTTCCTCCTCTCTCTCTGCCTGCCTCTCTGCCTACTTGTGATCTCTGTCAAATAAATAAATAAATAAATAAATAAATAAAATCTTAAAAAAAAAAAAAAACCTGACATCTAAGAAGCCTGGAGAATGAGAACGTGGGTGGTACAAACAGTAAACTCAGAATAATGCAGGAGGGAGTCCCCCAAGGGGCAGCCGCCTCCTGCAAAGAACTCCCCTCTCAGTCCCCCTTCCCACACGGGGTCAAAGGAGAGGAAAGTGGGGACAGGGGCCGCCCAGCAGGAAAAGCAAGGGAAGAGACCTCAAACGCAGTGGGTCTCCAAGGTGTGTACTATCCAGAGCATGAGTAAGGTCTAGGAGGGTCTGGGAAACAAGAGCCGCAGGGGTGGATGGGAGGACGGTTCTTCCCCAGTGAGAACAAGACAGGATGGGTGGGAGGCTGCCATGCGGATGCTGGCTGCCCCAGGGGCCCCACTGTTGGGTTACAAAAGTCTTTGGCGGGGCACCTGGGTGGCTCAGTGGGTTAAAGCCTCTGCCTTTAGCTCAGGTCATGATCTCAGGTCCTGGGATCGAGCCCCGCATCTGGGCTCTCTGCTCAGCGGGGAGCCTGCTTCCTCCTCTCTCTCTGCCTGCTTCTCTGCCTGCTTGTGATCTCTGTCTGTCAAATAAATAAATAAAATTAAAAAAAAAAAAAGTCTTTGGCTCATGTGAGCGTAGCTAGGGAGTCCCTATCTTGAGGACAAAAACAGACAAGTCCAAAGGTGGGGGGCAACCATGGTTACACCAAAGCAATAGAAAGCTCTCTCCAGGGGTCTTACTGGCACAGAAGAGCTTCTAGAGGATCCTGGGGTATTCATTCATTTTTTTCTTGCTGAGAACATTTCATTTGGCTCACGTGGCAACCGTGAAGAACAAGACGGCCAGAGGGCCTACACTAGGGGACCTGGAACAGTCTAGCACAAAATAGGTTGATTCCTTTTCTGGGGCTGGGGTGGTTTTTGGTGCAGACCTAAGTAAAATCCAGCCCAGCCCTGACTCCCCTAACTCTGGCTCCCAGTAAGACAAAAATAAACACTTCCCTCTAGTTCCAAAATTCTGGATAGTCTAGCCCTGCTTGGATCCTTTCATCCAGAGAAGCAGTGCACACTGCAGATGGGAGAAGGCAGAACAAGAATGGCAGTAAAAACCAAACAAAGAGGCAACTTGCAGACTGATAAAACGGGAGAAGTGAGTCCTTCGAGGTGGTCTGGCCGGGTGGTTTTCCAAATGCACTCCCTAGCGCTTCCTCAAGGGGGTAGGTGGGTGTGGGAGTGCAGCCCAAGGCAGAAGGCCCCAGGGTCTCTTTCCACCAGTTCGCGTTTGACCACATCTATACAACCAGTTTCCTTTCAGAGAGAACACTTGGGCCCCAAGTGGAACGCATTTACCCAGGAACATAAAGAGAGCCGGTTGCAGCTTCGTGTTCCCTTGGCTAGAAACAAATAAACCAGAGAATGGAGAGGAGGAGGGGAACCAAGAGGTCAGTGTGCCAACCAGCAATGACTGAAGCCGGGCAGTGGCCGCCTAGGCCCTCTGGTTTCCCTGGGGCGTGTCCCCCACTTCCTGTGCCCCAGGGCCTGCCTCCCCTGGCAAGGACTAACACAGATCTGGGAATGGAGCTGCCATTCCAGCTGCTGGGAGAAGACTGGCTCCTGCTCAGGCTGAGACGGTCTCACTCCACAGGCCCTGGCCTAGGCAGTCGGAGCCAAGTCCTTGAAAGCAGGGTTTTTTTTTCCCCCCCCCTTAAGCATGTTGGGGGGGAGGGGTAGAACAGACGATGCCCTCTATT